AATCAGTTCCCCCGGAATACGACTTATCGGTCATAAACTCGACAAACATTGCACTCATATATGCGGCCAACGATTGGCTGAACGATATTCGAGACATTAATTTGCTTAAGAAAACACTCAAAGGTTTGTTGGAAATAGTTTTACTTAAATTAAAAATTTTAATTATTTTTTAATGTTTTATTTGCAGTGAAACTAATGGACGACTATTTAGTACCGGACACCACGTGGAACCACATGGAGCTGATGTGGGCCCGGGATGTGGGCAAATACGTCAACACAAAAATACTGGAGATTTTGCACAAATGTCATTAAACTTTATTTTTGAAATAAAATGTTTATTTTTAGAAATTATATAAAATTATAAAATTAAATCTAAAATTTATAGCAATAAAGATATTTAATTATTAAATTTAGTTTATGCCAAACTTATAATTGTAAATGTTTAATAATTACGTAAATTGTAATTGTTAAACCAATTTAATCTACAACAATATTAGTGAATGTGTCTCCTTTTAATAAAGTGCCGATCTATGCTACGCCAAATGTATCCAGCTCTTACTGCTGCCGATATACCAATTGCTGGTATAAAACCTAATGGTGCGCCTAATCCACACTAGTTTCTATGGTAGCCCCTCTATTGTATCTAAATGTACAAGTAACTTAAATGATTTAAAATTGAAGTTATTATGCTATATTTTTAATTTATTATGGTTATTAGAGTAAATTATTATTATTATTATTATTATCGAGTACAAATCCGCGTCCCACTATGAGTGACAAAACTTTAAACATTTTAACATTAATCTCAATGCGGACTAATGTTATAACAATTAAAGTTTTGTAACTGTTAATATGGCCCGGATTACAATGCACGAATCATGTGTTAATAGAGCAATACCTGATCTCCAATATAATTTTCTTAATAGAATTCAATTGTTGCTTGATCAATTTATTAAATTCATCCTGGTGTTGATTCCGAAGGTTATCATAAATTTCTCGATCACACTCAATATGTTCGGAGATGTAGTTCATAATGAATACAAACAAATTGCGCTGGTTCAATTTCGCTGTTAAACTGATAATACACATGTCACACAAATAGTTGTATCATAACTACTTAATGTACTCATCGAGACAATACATACCGTTCCCCTCACTGTATTCACAGCTTATGTATAAACTGTAAATGAAAATATTAAATAATTTTTGTTGCGTTGCAAATAAGTAACACAAAAAAATTGATTATCAGTTTTTAAACGCTATAATAGGCTTTGAAATCGATATAAAAAATTGTTGTATTTATTTGTTATTGAGTTTACACTTTATACTCGTGTTCAAGTTAAGTTATCAGTGAAAACTATTTTGGTTATATCAAAAAATATTTATATAAAACTAAAATGTTTTGAAACCTAAAAACATATTTGAAGTCTAATCAGCGAAATAAAAGTTATTTATTTTCGTTATTATTATTATTATTTTCATTAAATCTATAAATAAGATGTGATTTCGACGTAAAAATCTATTTTTATAAAATTTTATTAAATAATTACCCGTTTAACTGATTTTTGTTCTTGATCATTTTTAAGTGTTCCTTGATAATTATTTATATCTTATAAGTTTCGTTTATTTAATAAGTATTTTAATTATGTATTATTCATGTGTTGAAAGTTTTGTGAAATTAAATTCACGTAAAATTATCAAATACTCGGCTATATTGACAGTGCTATTTGCTATATATTTAGCACCTGTAGGTGACTATATGATTGCTGGACTTAAATACTTGCCCGGATACTACCATGACCTGGATACTATTCGAACTTCCGTATGAATTTTAGAAATATTTTATATTTATGTATTAATAAAATTTTAATTTGAAAAAAATGTAGCTAGCAAAGATTATACTATACTGTATTATTATAATTACTTTATTATGAAGTATTTAGAGAGAGAGGAGAGGAGAGAGATTCAGACATTGGACTATAAATTGTGTAATTAATTTATGTTTTGAATATTCTGTTTTAAAAAAGTTATTAATAAGAAATTATAAACACTATCTTATGATAATCACGAGCATACCGGTGCTATAGTATACAGTTTTTGTATTATGTTTAGTTATTTGATTTCATAAATTATTTTATATAAACAAATCGGTGTTCAAAGTGTTGAAAACATTTACACATTTCTAGCTATAATGCAATTCTTTCTAATAAACTGTATAATCAAACATAAATTAATTACACAATTTATAGTCCAATGTCTGAATGTCTGAATGTCTGAGACTTACATCCGTTTTGAGTACTTATTAATCAATACAATTAAAATAAATCAAATAACTAAACATAATACAAAAACTGTATACTATAGCACCGGTATGCTCGTGATTATCATACGATAGTGTTTATAATTTCTTATTAATAACTTTTTTATAACAGAATATTCTGTATATTTTAGGTACAAATCATAGAATCTCGTGGTTTTCAATCGGAAACACATTACATAACCACTGGTGACGGCTATATCCTAACTGTTAACCGGATAGTCAACCCATACGTAAAGGACAGGTCATCCCTAAGACCAGTTTTACTACAACACGGCTTTCAGAGCTCCGATAAGGGTTGGCTCATCACCTCAGCCNCATCCCTAAGACCAGTTTTACTACAACACGGCTTTCAGAGCTCCGATAAGGGTTGGCTCATCACCTCAGCCGGCAAACTGAGTAGGAATGGCGAGTACAGTGAGCCGGACCGGAGGGGAAAGGTAGGTAATACCTTGCCGTTCGTGTTGGCCACACAGGGATATGATGTCTGGTTGGCCAACATGAGGGGAAATGTATACTCACTTAACCATACCGTGTATTCGAGTAAAGGTTTGTGTATATAATATTATATTAGATTCAAATATATTTATTTTAATTTTTCAAAAATAATTTATAATTAATATAACATTATATTAATTATAAATAAATTAAAAACTGTAATAAATAATTACTGTAAATATATAATCTTCATATAATTAGTAAAAACTTTTATTATTGAAATAATTTGCAATGATAATACTGTATTAACTTTTCCAAAAATAATTATGAAGGAAAAATATATATATATATATTTAATGAAACATATCAAATAATTTTTTATAACTTTCTATTAATATTTTCAAAACACAAAATAACAAATCATATCCAGGGCAATCATGTGAATCATATGATGTGATAAAGTCATTGATAGTTATAATTAGTGCAACGAATTGTGTTTATATTTAATTTATACAATACTTACGAAAGTTTGTATTAAATGTACCATAATTTCCGAGTGATAACCACAAGTGCTTTAACAAACACCAGACAAAGCAAACACATGTCCAAAAGTCAATTGTATGAGTGAAATACAAAAATATTGGATCCGGAAAAAAGTTTCCGCAATGCCTTTGCTTTAGTAAAAATTTTATTATTTCTTAACTAGAACATTTACTTTTAATCCATTTAAACCCCAACTATGGTTTTAAGTCTTACATGTGCTCCCGAAGAGACAGGTTGGTTTGAGCACCGGTAGCTCGGCACAGGTAGTTTATTTAAAATATTCTATATCTTACAAACTACAATTCACATCTTGGCAAACGATATCTCATTTGAAAGAGCATAAGAAAGTAGAAGAGACATCAAAAATTATTTTATCCACATATCCATATTTATTGGCCAGAAAGGCCCGGTATGTCTAAAAATTTGAATTTTGAAAATTTTTAGCATCAACAAGAATAGGAATTTTGGAAAGTTATAATATGGAAAATGTAGATAATTTAATTCTCTATCAATCTAAAATATAAAAATATTTTATTCAATCCGAGCACCGGGAGGAAAGGTGGGTATTTTATTGTGACTATACTAGAAGTTATTGTATAAATCTAATTAGTTCTCTGAATAGAACTCAAAAAATGAACAAGGTTAACATTTTAAACTTTTCAAATATCTATCAAAATATCAGAGCTAGGGCAGGTCAAAGTTTGAATTTTTACATTGAATATTGCCATTGAAAACCTAAACAACAAAATAGTAATACCAAAACCCTTTTCAAAACTTTAACTTACGATAGATAGTTTATTATAAAGTTTAAAATTATTTTACAGTACTTATTATTAATAATTAGTTGTGTACAGTTTTAAATATATATTAGAATTTTTTTAAAACTTTAACATTATTTTATTATATCTCATGGTTTAGACATAGAATTCTGGAAGTTTTCGATCGATGAGATGATTGACTACGACCTACCGGCGCTCATACAACACATACTCACCACCACTCATAAAAGTATTATAAATCACATGAAAAATATATATTTAATAAAAACTGTAAACAAGTTAATTATATTTCTTAATTATTATATGATAATTAAACATAATAAATAGCGGTTAAAGTATTCATGAATTAATATTATACATTATTTACACAAC